AGCTCTAAAATGCTTGCAAAGTCTTTCTCCCATGGCTTTGCTCATTAGCACAAGACTGCCTTTCACCTGAGCTAAACTTCTTAGCAACTAGTTTCTCTATCTTACTTTCCTGTCCTAAACAGACTTTTCCTCAATCTTTGCTTGGCCAGGCTGCAAATCTCCTAAAATTTTCTACTCTGTTCCCTTTTGCCCCTGATTCTTAATGTAAAACTAACAGCAGCCAGTAACACCCATGTTGCAGCCTGAACGCTTTGCTGCCTTGAAATCTCCTCCACCAAACTTGTCCACCATCTTTAAATTCAGCCTCCAACAAAGTCTCAGAACACAGACATGAAAAAGTCAGGTTCTTGGCCACCATGTCACAAGGATGGCCTGTAGTCCAATTTGCAATAGAATTCTCATTTCCTCCCAAGAGGGCATCAGCGTGGCCGTTACTGTCCACATTTCTACCAGCATTCTAGTCTTCCAACCTCTAGTCGGAATCACCCATTCTTCTGCTTGAAGCACTCTAGGCTTTCGCCAGGCTTCTCTTCACTCTTCCAACCTTTTCCAGTAAATCTATTCCAAGGGCTTCTCCACATCCTCATGTACAGTCAACAGTATTGACCCTGCCCCTCAGTACCAACGTTCTGCCTTTTGTTAGTCAACCTTTTGTTATTTTTAAGTCCCTGAGAGAAGCTACTTAGGAAAGAGGAAAGTTTACTTTGCCTTACAGTTTTGCAGGTTCACAGTCCAAGATCAGGCAGTCGCATCAGTCTGACATCCACAGAGGGTAGAATGCATGCCGAGGGAGAATCACATGGAAGCAAAGAAAAAAGTTAAGCCGAACTCATTAAATAATCAACACCCTTGTGAGAACTGTCATCCAAGGGCACACACACGAATGACCTAAAGACCTTGCACTAGGTCCACCTCCAAGAAATATAATTGGATCAAGTCTCTATCCTGTCAGCATCATCAATTCGTGACCTTGCAACTTAAATGTCTATATGACTGGGAAGCTAAATCCTGTTCAAACCATAATAGCACTAACAAAGATTAAATTGGTAGACATAGCCTAGCGAGAGAACCCAAAAGATCTGCCCACTGAAGCCCAGTCCTGGCCAGTCTTCCTCAACCATCTCAAGCAGCTCAGGGCCCAGCCATGACCTCCATCAGCACAGGGGAAGCAGGATAGCAGGATGGAATCTGATGTTGGAGAAGAGGGAGATGAGCCCAACATTGCCAGCTGACTCTAACTTGACAATGCAGATAAGCACTCTATCTCCTTCAGGGTGGAGTAAATTAAGGGAAAGAGAAAATCTACAACATTTAGGAGGCCAGCACTGTGGCGTATCAGATAAAGTCAGCACTGAAGACACCGGCCTCCCACATGGCGCCAGTTCAAGTCCCAGCTGTCGCATTTCCAATCCTGCTCCCTGCTAATGCACCTGGGAAAGCAACAGAAGATGGACCAAGTCTTAGAGCCCCTGCATCCACGTGGGAGACCCAGAGGAGGCTCCTGGCTCCTGGCTTTGGCCTAACTGTTTTGGCTATTTAGGGAGTCAATCAGCAGATGGATAATCTCTCGCTCGCTCACTCTCTCCCTCCCTCCCTCCCTCCAACTGCCTTTCTAAATATTAAAAAAGAGAGACATTTTCCACTTTGCCTACACCAGAGTGAGAAACAATCACCCCTCTAACAAGGGGCAGAGCCAAGATATGATCTGACACCAAAGTCCATACTTTTAAACTACTGTGGTATCTGTGAGGGCATTTCAGAAATTTCACCTGTCAACACCAGCATCCCATATCAGCGCATTGGTCCTGACTGCTCCACTCCAGCTTTCTGCTAATGTGCCTAGAAAAGCAGCAGAAGATGGCTCAAGAACTCCCACCCACGTGGGAGACCCAGGCAGGGTTCCAGGCTCCTGGCTTCCGCATGGCTGTTATGGTGATCTGGAGAGTGAACCAGCAGACAGAAACTCTCTCTCCCTCTCTCTCCCTCTCTCGCCTCCTTTCTCTCTTTTTCTCTCTGTAACTTTGCCTTTCAAATAAATAAATCTTTAAAAAAAGAAAGAAAAAAGAAAGTTTGTGGAAAATGAGATCGGAGTACATTTATTTTGATGCAAAGAAATATTTTAAACCATGCTTACTGTTTCATAGTACTCATTCTCCATGAACTTTTTGAACTACCCTCAGATATGTCAACGCATTTGGTTAACTATCGGCAGGGAAGGATATCAGGAGTCAATTTCACCTAGTGATTTTGTAAAGGAGAGAAGAAACACAGGGAAAGAGAGATATAGAGAAACTTCAAGCAGTACAGCTCCCCTCTGTCACAGAGACACAAGTGACAATGAGAGCTAGGGGCTCATGCTAAAAGGTTTACAGGCCCATTCATGTTAGAAAAGATGGCAAGAACAGGTGTACCAGTTAGGAACAAGTTAGCCACATATAACAGAAATGACTTTGTTTGACTTGCATTTTGTTTGCTTTTGTTGAGCAGCAAATTACCATAAACTTAGTGGCTTCAAAAACACATAGTTATTATCTTACCATCCGTGAATCAAGAGACTGGGCATTTAGCTGAGTTTTCTGTTTAGAATCTCACACAGCTATAGTCAGGGCATTGGCTGGGGCAGTAGTGTCTTCTGAGGCTGAATGGCAAAAAGATCCACGTTTCTGGGCAGATCTCAGTTCTCACAGTTGGAGGGGTTTCCATTTCTTGCAGCTGTCAGCCGGTGGCTGCCCTTAGTTCCTAAAAGCTGCTCTCAGTTCTTTGCAACATGAGCAAAGAGCTCACAACACGGCAGCTTACTTCTTCAAAGGCAGAAAGGGAGGGAGAGCCGGCACCACAGCTCACTAGGCTAATCCTCCACCTGCGGCACCGGCACACCGGGTTCTAGTCCTGGTCGGGGTGCCGGATTCTGTCCCGGTTGCCCCTCTTCCAGGCCAGCTCTCTGCTGTGGCCAGGGAGTGCAGTGGAGGATGGCCCAAGTGCTTGGGCCCTGCACCCCATGGGAGACCAGGAGAAGCACCTGGCTCCTGACTTTGGATCAGCGTGATGTGCCGGCCGCAGCGGCCATTGGAGGGTGAACCAACAGCAAAAGGAAGACCTTTCTCTCTGTCTCTCTCTCTCTCACTGTCCACTCTGCCTGTAAAAAAAAAAAGAAGGGAGGGAGAGACTCCACAAAGTGGGGCACCCCAATCCAAGGTACATGCTGTCACCTTTGTCATATTCTGTTGGCTAGAAACAAGTCACAGATCACAGCCACCTTTGAGTTTTGATCCACAGTGGCACAAAGATCATGCAGGCAGGGCTCTGGTAGAGTCTACCTACCATTACTGTTTTAACTAGGACAGGTTTATCTCTTAGTAAAATAAATCCAAAGACAGGCAGGTGAGGGGAGCTTCCCCCTGATCAGTAACCCAGCTCCTTCCAGGTTACCAGCTCACAAACCTTATTATTTGTACTTGCTCCTGATCCGCCAAAAGGTTGATAGAGTTCCAGTCAGCCATCTTCAATCTAAGCAGCAGGATGATGGAAAAACAAACCAAAAAGTCTTACCCCTTCCTTTTCAGGATACTTCTCAAAAGCATCACCAACATCTCAGCTTATACCCTACTGGCCAGACCTCCAGGACTCCACCTAGCTACAGAGGACGCTGGGAAATGTAGTTGGTGCCCTGCATAAACTCAGGGCTCTGAGATTACAGAAGAAGGAGTGGAGTCGAGAAGGTGGAGGAATGCAGCAGCCTCTTCTACCCCAATCATTGACAAAGTGGGTAGGAGAGGACAGAAAGAACAAAGCAGATCCCATGTGACAGACAGTTCTCAGGATTTTTTGGGAGAGCATATCCCTGGAGGCTCACAGGGATAACTGGAAGGCTGTTCCCAGGGCTGGAGAACCTGAATTATATTTAGAGTGCATGAAAAAAAAAAAATAGAGTGCATGGATGATGCTACTTTCAAGATCCCACTTTATATACAGGTTAGTGAGGTCTAGAAAACCCATTATATAGGCCCATGGTTCCCAGACTGAAAACATCATCCAAATCACCTGTTTGCTTAGCAAGTCAGATCAGGTACCTAATTCTAGATCTACTGAATAAAGATTTCCAAAAGTAAGGACAGGAATTTCTGTTAAACTAAAGCCCTCTAGGGGAGCCTAATGACCAATCAAATTTAGAAATAACTCACATGAGTTACATGTTTTCAAAAAAATGATTTGTTAATCTAAATATCTGTCCAGTGACTTTAATGACTACTATTGTGTAATGATGCATTATGCTAATCATATTAAATAACTGACATGATGAGGTAATTTAGAGGTACACAGCATCATGTCACCAAAAGGATTCTCAACCTTGGCAATTTTTCTAATTGGGGCCACATAATCCTGTTGAAGGGAGCTGTCCTGTGCTTGGTCAGATGCTTAGCTTCATCCTTGGCCTCTACTCCCTGGATGCCAATAGCCCCACCCATAGCTGTAACACCAAAACTATCTCCAGACATTGGCAAATGTCACCAGGGGTAAATCACCCCCAATTGAGAATCACTATGCTATCTTTATCATTTCACAGAAGCTCAGAAATTTCATGAGAAGTGCTAAATACTACTAGGTGGGAACCAAGGTAATGCACCTGAAGAGCTACACCCTGGATGTGACCATCTGTGCTTCCTTTTATTTTTTTAATGTTTACACAGTCTATACATTCTATATTTCCATTTCATTTCCAGAAGCTGAATGGCTGCTCACCTCACATTAATTAATTTCTTACTTGTATATCACTTACCTCTCTACCAACCCCACCCCAGCACCAAAAGCAAAGAATGAGGAGGAAAGTAAAAGGGGTCGGTGATCAAAAGTCTTAAACCTCATTCATGTCAAGCCCTTATAACACAGTAGTGCCTGCTTACACATGCTTTTAGGTATCCTATTTCTCATAATTAAATAGATTTAGGTAAGGCAGATATGTTATAGACATACTTTAAGCAAAAATAAAAAGAACACAGATATGAAATAGGTGAGAATTTTTATTTTTATCGGTAAATCATTATTTCCTGTTGAATACATTATAGTACACAATTAACAATAACATAACAATCCAATATGAATGAAAACTTTCAAAATCACCCTGATCAATATGTAAAGCTTTAGTTCCTAGAAAATAATGTTTATTTCAACAATACACTTCTCATATGCAAAATAGCTTTTCAAAATAGAGAATTTATGAATGAAATTTTATAAAGTTTCCCATGTACAAAGAGATTGACTTCACCATATCAACTATATCTTACTAAAACTCTGTAACTTAAAAGGTTGAAGGGCCAGAATCAAGCCACAGTCTATTGAAGCTATCAAAGATAAATCTTAAAAATCTGCAAAGGGACTCCTTCTACTGCCAAGTCAATATGCCGGGCAGAAGACTGAATGTTGACTTCATGACAATATGAGATAGGATGATTCTTTAAAATGAAGCAACACACATTTCAATGTCATTCATCCCTATCACAGAGACACATGCATGTCAATGTATTAAACATCCTTTGAAATAAGAAACTCAGAAATCACCCAGGAAATACCTATTTCCTTTCTTACAACAGACATGAAAAGGACAACATGTTTTATGAAATGATATAACATGGCACATGAAAACACAACCTATTGGCTAGAAATAGTCTCAAAACAAGTCTCCTTTCAAGAATACATACTTAATTCAAAAGTTACATGTATTGCTTAGTTTCCTGAAGAAACTAGAATAACAGTTCTCTATTCAAAGTAGTGATCAAAAAAAAAATTGCACCTCAAGTTAATCTCAAAGTAATTTAAGATATTTAATATTAGCATGGATATCATTAGAATAGATGACAGGAAAATTTTAAGTTCTTAAAAGTGCTGGAATTTGAAAACAAATAAAATTGAGAAATACACTCTTGCACCTATCAGAAGTCTCTACTGAGAATATAAAATGTTCTGAAGCTTATTCAAGAGTGAGTCCACTTAATATAGATGTCTCAAATTTACAACATGCAAGAAATGAGCTATCTACCATGACACCTTGATCCATGGTAGCCACTTGGTAGACCCAAAATAATCACTGTCCTTACATTGAGAGTATTTATAACTTTTTAAAATACAAATGAGTTTTAAAGTTCAATAAAACAAATCAGAAAAAGTGAGGTTTATTACAAAGAACTCCAGACTACATGATAACAGTTAATAAAATGTCAAAGACAATCATAGTTCCAATTCTTTTTATGTCAGGGAACAGCCATAAATGTCATGAAATAATTGAATTTATCAGAATAAAGAGAGTTGGCATTGTCAGGCAATTTATAACTATACTCAGCATAAGCAGAAATTAAGGCTAAATATAATTTCTTTTTAAAATATTTTCATACTCAAAAGAATAGGTGAAGTGAGAACCATTTCTACAATTCTGAAAATGTGTCTGTGTAAGATACAATATTATATACATAAGTGACAAACAGGCAGTAGATGCTCATTTGAATTCTTTATGAGTACAATGCACCTCAGATTATAACATACCCAAAATACTAACCCAAATAGACTATTTTTTTAGTATTATGAGAGAACACAATAGAAATACACAATAAAAGGAAGTATATCATTTGACTGGGCCTATTTTAATGAGGTTTAACTGGTTTTTTTAGAATTGTAAGTGAAGTATTAAGATGATAAAACCAAATATAAGGTTGTTCTGACCTAGAATTGCTTTGGCTATTAGTTTTTCCCAAAATTCTGTCTCTAAAACCATGGGCCAGTCAAAATTAGCACTGGCGTATGCTGGAGTCTTAAGAAGCCTCCCAAACAGTGGGGGAGAAGGCAGAATTCAGATCAGTCTGCATCAGTAGATGAAACTGACAGCATTCTAACAGAGCAGATTCAGCATGAGCAAACTTCAAAGTAAGATGAATTTTCTAATATTATTGCTCTTAGCCTATAAAGAAAATAGTTTATCCTACTTACCATGGCTACTGCATGTACTCCTTTTCTCCTCATGCTTATGATTTTTAAATCACTTCTACTCTGAACCTACGGCTTGCAGCAGAGCAAATTCTCTGTGAGAAAGAGGAAGAGGAAGAGGCCAAGACATCCCAAAGGCCCCAGGCAGTGCCAATCAATCCTTCCTCCTCCTCTTTCTCACTTCTAATAAATTTATAATAAAAACAGATGGCTCAAAAGTTGACTTTTAACTTCAAAATCTCAAGCACATCACAAAAAAGGTACTTAAATTCGCTTTTCAAGTGAAGAAATGTGGTCCTAAAAAGATACAACCCTCTTTCCATTTGAGTATTTTCTAATGTGCAACACTAGACATTCAGTGAAGCTTATTTACTGAAGAATATAAGGTCTTGATAGCCAGCATACGGTGTCCTGGGCAGGACAGAGGCAGGGACACATTCTTTGCCAGCACCAACCCCCAATTTCATTGTAAGATGATTTTAACTCTAGGGAGAGCCCAGAGTATAAAGGCCAAAATCACCCATCACAAGGAGGGTCAGCCAGGACAAGTGCGTCTTTCAGAACAGACTGCTTCAAAGGTGTAACAGACATAAACGCTCTTCCTCATTTGTAAACATATAAGAAACTTATGTTTTGATATTTAAGCACTCTCTTCATAGACCTTTCTGAGGATCTATTTTCTACATAGAGGATACAAGCCTTAAACTACCGAATGGTGGTCGTTGCTATCATGGTATCCAAAATATCCATAAGCAATACACTCTAGTAAGATTTCTAAAAATTTACTAAAATAAGAGCATCTTCTTAATTAACTTTAAGAGATATATTTGCATTCTTCACTTTTGATAGACTTACTCTGAGATAACTGAAAAGTGTATAACGCAAGCTCAGTAGAGTCCAATGCAATTCTCTTTCCATGTCTATGTGACAAACACCATGGAGTTCAGGAGTAAAATGAAATCATTTCTTATATTTAGTAAGATTGGTGTTAAGTGAAAGTTTTAAAATATACTTAAACTATGTCAGTACATTTAGAAGGGAAAGGGGAAGAAATGACAGAACGCAGGAAGAGAGGAAAAGGAGAGAGGAAAGAAAGGGATTTTTTTATTTCCAACCAGAAAAACTAAACACTACCACCCTTCGGGACACAGGTTGACCTGGGTGCTCAGAATTTAAGCATCTCCCTAAAGATTCACAGCCAGCCCCAGCTGTCACTGTACAGCTGGCAGAAGGGGGCGGAGCACCAGAGCCTCGTGAGGTTCTGCAGGATTCCCAGCCAACACCCTGAAGCAGCCATGTCAACCCAACTTCCTCCTCAGACCAGGAGGAGGTGGTGTAGGGTATCTCACTGTAACCTTGGCTTCTCCAGTGTCTCCCAGTCCAAGACCCTCTATTCCAAGTCACATAAGGCAAATTTTGCAGTGTTCTTTGGCCCTCTCCTGGGGAACAGAGCCGGGGCTGAGGAGAGCGCATACCCATGCCCCAGGGAGCAGTATCAAGTGCACGTCTCACCTTGACACATGGCCTTGCTCTTTCTTCTTTCCAGAAGGAAAAGGCAGGAGGGCAAAGGCTGGGGTGGGTTTGGGGTAGATAAAGGCCATTTCAGTTGTAAAACAATCTATAATCTACATTCTAAAAAGATAGAAGTAATGTGCAGTTAAGAGAGACCACTGGGAGTGGGTTGGGATGAGGAAGGGACAGGGAGGAGGAGGGAAGGAGAAGGGTCAGAACAAGCTCCCTCTGCTGGTTGCTGTCCCCATCCAGCTCCCAGGGAAACCCATCTTTAACATGGACACAACTGCTGATGTATCTCAATGCTTAGGAACCTGGACTCCTTTCTTTCACAAAACAAGAAGAAGGGCTAACCTAAAAATGACACTTTTATTCTGGAGAAAACAAACACTCTCCCCAAAATCCTGAGAGCTTTCGAGAGTTGTGGGGGAAATAAAGATATAGAGCTGTAGACATTCTGGTCTTCCACACACAGAAATCTACACAGCTATACATACTGGAACCTGTTAGACACCATGCCCCCAAACCCCACGGAAAGAAAGAAAAAAAAATGTTTCTCAAAATAGAGGCAATATGCAATTACGAAAACAAAACAATCACATGTGTCTTCTGGAAATGTCTGTGTTTCGTGGAGTCCTTCAAACACTCATCACAGCCAATACTGCAAAGAGCAGAGAAGCAGGACACAGAAAACGAAGAGGAGCGGAGAGTGATGAAGGCAGGCCGCTGCACCATCCTCACAAGGCCGGCAGCCCTGGACGCCTCTGCAGAGGTCACAGGAGGACAGCTTCGCTTTGGAGTTGTAGCTTCTCACCACCTGTCTCCCTGTGCAAAGACGCAGACATTCAGTTTCCGCGTCTCCCCTGTTCAGAGACGCCGACTTTGCCAAAAGGTAAGAGCTTCTCAATGCACTTTGTGGAGTTTTCCATTCAGATAATTTCTTTTTCTTTACAAGAAAACAACTGAAATGCTCAAGAGAGGCCCAGACTGCAAACCAGATCCAAGAGAGAAACAGTGCGCTCAGCCCAGTCCGTCTCCCACCAGCAAGCAGTTGGCCGGCATTGAAAGAGAACAGACTGCAGCTGCGCCCCTGCAATCACAGGCGCTTGAATCTCTTACTAGAACAGGAAAAAAACGGAAGTGGAGGATTGTTTAACCTACTGGAGAGCTTATTCTAGGACGACATTTCCCATGCATTTTAAAATATCTAAGCATCACGGGTAGTCTGTCTATGCAATGCCTTCCTTCAAACACTGAGCACACAGTATCTAAAATCTATTCAATCTGGGAAAAAATTATAGCATGAGCTAGTATTTCTAAAACTGTATAAAGTACCTACAATACTAGCGTATAGTCGCTACAAAATGTAAAGGGTTTTATCCTTACAATATTTTAAGAATGCATTCTATTTTCAAATTCCTTCATGGTTTTTCCTGGATTGTGCTTTATATCATAAATGTATTTTCAGATTTTAAAAAACAGATTGGTAGGTTTTGATTACCCTGATATTTCTCATGGCTTCATTTTAAAAGAGTTGTTTTCCACAAAAACATGCACATAGATTGAATCTTTTTATTGTTTCTTAAAGGTTTAAAATGTTCTCCAGGTACCTAAGAAATACTAGTTGGAAAATTCTACAACTAGATTTAATAACAAAACTGGACAACTGGGTATACATACTGCCATGGGGTATCCCAGCCCCTCGCCTGTAAAAATGTTACCTCAGTGTTTCTCAAAATCATTCCACAAGAATGGGCTTGTTGACTTGGAAGAGGACAGGAGCTAAACCTTAGTCCTGAACACTCTACCAAGCACTACCAACAATGTCAACAAGTTCACTTCACTGTCACTGTCCATAAGTACTCCACACAGTAAATTGTTCACACACCTCATGCACACCAGCAGTTCTGGGACACTCTGAGTACTTATAAAACTAAAAAATTTAGCCCAGAGGTCACACCCTCTCAAAAAGTCACTCCGTGATAAACACAGATTAGTCCTAATTAACCTGAAAGATCTCCAGATCCAGTCTCTACTTTCACATCTTAAATTCCTATATAATTTCAAAAAGTAAGAAGTTAGCATTAAAATCAAAGAAGTTCAAGTTATTTTCCAGACTATAATTTTCTTGCTACACTAAAAAAAAAAAAAAAAAAAAAAAAAAAAAAAAAAAACTGTCAAACTGTGTATGTTTTAACAAAACACCAGACTCTTGGTGAAGAAAACGCTACACCCAGCTGACACTATCACATTGCAGATGCTGCTTGCATCCTGTGCTGAAAGACTCCCACTGTAAAACCAGGTGGAATGGGTGCTTGGGGCAAAAGCAAAACCCTGGAAATGGAACATAACTGAACTTTTCATGTCAATTTTTCTTTGTGCAGTTTTGTAATTGTGGGTTAGAAAACCAAAAATATTATGAGTAAAAATATCTTTTTGTTACCTGTTAAAATTATGCCACCTTTGTATATTATCAACTGTCTTCATTTAAATGGAAAGTTCATCTCCTCCATCCCCACCTCCTCCATTTTCTCCTTCCAATTCCCCCCTCCCAGACGAAACCAATGCCATAGGTGGCTGCTTCAAGTGAATGAGTGAGTCAATGAGTGAATGCCTGGCTGACTTGAAAAGTACTAGGAAAAGAGCTCCAGCACCCACTTACTTGGCTCATAGTAATCCACGATGGACACCAAAGCATCTTGAGTATTTGACACTTTAAAGTTTCTCACAGCAGGAATATCCACACAAAACTGGGTTTCATTTACCTTGAAAAACACAAAAGATCCTCAAGGAGCTGGCACAGCACATGTTCACAACAAAGTAAAGACGTTTCTTATCAAAGCAGACATTTAGAGAGAACTTCCGCGTGCCAGGTTCTACAGTAAGTACTTTCCATGAATTATCTCACTGAACGTGTAAAACAATCTTTACAAGACTGATGTTGTTCGTGGGTCCATTTTCCTGGAAACTGAGCAGAGTTTTCACCCACGCAGCAAGCCCAGGGGTGTGTGCTTCAGGACCACAGTGCCCCACCCAGATCCCTCGGTGCAGGCGGTGCAGCCCAACGCCATTTGTGCTAACGGCTCACCGGAGCCCCCTACCCCTTCACACAGAACCACCTCAGCTCCAGGCCCTGAGGCAGGGTGGTATGCAGGCCACAACCAGTGAATGGCATAAGAGACCAGCCTCCACGTCTGCAAGACAGACAGCTTATGCCAATCTGGCAGATGATACTGGCAAAGAAATCAGAAATTAGTAAATTCCTTCAAACATTCTATTAGCTGCCAATAGCAGTAAATGAAAAGTCGAATTAATTCATCAGAAAGCATTGGACACTCAACAATAGGAGAGGCATAAGACAAGCTCCAAAGCCAAACATTACTAAATAAAAACTTCAAATTTGCTTTTCAAGTTCCAAATCAAGCCTTGGTTTCAAGCAGTATTTAATATATGAAAATTCCTGAACAGCAAAAGAATCTAGAGATTGCATTAGTTTGAACAGGGCTTGAATTACAATGGTTTTTGAAGTATTAAAACAAATGAGAACATTTAGAAACTATTTTTAAAGTAGATATTTAGCAATATATTTCCAATTCATACTTAACAAAACTGGAATAAGAAATAGACATATTCACCCCATGTGACATGAAATCCTAGGAACACTTAGAACTTGATTTCAGTTTAACCTCTTGGTTTCATATAGATGTTAGAAAAAAAGAACTTACTTACACGCCACCAGTTTTCAGGTATAACAGGTAGAGTCTGGAATTCTTCATTTACCTTTCCCTGCCATTTTACATACCTTGGTCTTGGATCAACAGTATTCATACAGCCGTGGGAAGAATATATGAAGGCTATACAATAGTTCTGTGTCAAGAACAAATCCCTGAAAATACTCTCTGACTAAATGTATAAGATGGGAAAATCAATCCTTGTGAGATCTGTTAAAAGCTTCATGAAGCATTTTAAAACATGTAATTAAAGCTTTCATGTTCAGCATTTAAGCAAATGCATCTGGCAATTCCCTGAGTCACTGAGTTCCGAAGTTGAGATCTGGATTGAATTTTTGAAAGTATAATATGGCAATTTTTACAAATTTCATATCTGCCATGAAGTAACAATTTAGTTATCAAGACCTTCATCAGGCTCATCATTAACAGTAATGCTCTCGAACTTCACAGTGAAGTATTTTTAGTAAAGAGCCATATTCAAGGTCATAAAAACTGACATAACAATGACTTAAGACTAACAATACCAGAGTACTTCAAAAAGTACAGAGAAAATAAGAATTAAAAGTTAATTTTACTTTTATACAAAAACTTTGGAAATCTATGCTTATGACCAGTGTTCAAAGAGTTCATGGAAATGTAGACTATGCAAAAACTATGTATAGAGTTCAAATTTTTTTTCATTTTCATGTGTTCTTTGAGCACTCATATTCATGGATTTCAAAATTGTTTGCTACATAAAATCTCATCTTTTTTTTTTTTTTTTTTTTTGATAGGCAGAGTGGACAGTGAGGGAGAGAGAGACAGAGAGAAAGGTCTTCCTTTTCTGTTGGTTCACCCCCCAAATGGCCGCTGCACTGTGCTGATGCAAAGCCAGGAGCTAGGTACTTCCTCCTGGTCTCCCATGGGGTGCAGGGCCCAAGCACTTGGGCCATCCTCCACTGTCCTCCTGGGCCACAGCAGAGAGCTGGACTGGAAGAGGAGCAACCAGGACAGAATCCGGTGCCCCGACCAAGACTAGAACTCGGGGTGCCAGTGCCGCAGGCGGAGGATTAGCCTATTGAGCTGCAGCACCGGCCAAAATCTCATCTTTTAACTTCATTTTTCCATGAGCTTTTGTTAGAGGAATTTATTAATACATTAGATTCTCAAAGTCACAGCAAATGCATGATCATTACTGTAACACAATTCCCATCCATTCTCATGTCAATGTGATATTCATACAAAGAGAACAGATTCCACATAGTTCATAGATATAAATCTACAAATACAATGGTACTTCCCTCCCTCCCTTCCTCTTTCTTTCTTTCTGAGATAACATTTTTAATTTACATTATAGTAAAAGGCTTAATGCTCCACTAAATGAAGAGTTCCATGAGTAAAACTCATGAGGACCGAGAACTTTCTGAAGTATCCTTGTGCTTAAAGTAAGGCAGACCTTTGAACACAATGAATGGTAGCTCCCTCAAAGATATTTTTGTGAGATTTACACTTCACTACTTACAGAGTCTAAATAGAGGCTGAGTTTTCCATGATCATGTTCCACTTTCTTCACTGTCTCACTCAGAGGAACTGCATCTGAAGGCACAGTAAAGCCACTGAGTAGGTTCACTTCCATAAGGGCCATGCCACTCCTATCTGGACCCAAAAACCTAAATCAAATAGGGGAAGATGGAAAAAAAAACTCATTAGGAAAAACCTAATTCTGCTAGCACATGGTCTTCAAAAATAACAAATGTTATTCCGAACACCACTTGCATTCAAATAAAATTCACTACAGAAAATTTTAAAGGTTACCCTTTTTCTACATGTATGATATTCTTCCATATTTCAACCACAGGGGAACATGAGTAACATAACAATGCGTTTATCTGACAGATGGTATGAAATGCCTGCAATGTCACAGGCTCCTAGGTTGTAAAAGGTACAAGCTACATCCTTTCCTAGATAACTCTGTGTTCTAGTGGTGACTCTAACCTGAGTTGCATTTTTCATTTTTTCAAAAGTTGACAGCATCAAGCTCCCCAGCTGGGAGCCAGGACCTGAAAAGGAGGCATCCCTTGGCCACTTAGTGGTAGACCCCAGCCAAGTCCACAGCAACTTTTCTTCATCTGGTTTTAGGAAAAGACCAGAAAGGCAAGGCCTCCCCCTTGTTCTCCCACATACTTGAAGCACTTTGTATGTTTTCTTTGGCCACCATGAAAGATTTACAAGCCCTGGAAAGTTTTTATTACACTGCATCCTTCTCTTAGCATGTTATACACAACGTGAGCTTCAAAGGATCTGGGCACCAACAACATTTTGCCTCTTTGAAAATAAATATTTCTCTAAAATAAATAGGTGACAAGCGTTTTTCATTTGGAGCAGAAAGCTCCCAGCATGGTTATGGAAAGAAGTTTGCCTCCATCATAAAAGTACCATGGCATTGTTAAATTACTTCCTGTTGTCCTTTTAGATGGCAAAAGCAGGAAGGGCCGTTAGAATGCCCGCCAAACATGACTGATTGAAAAGCCATACAGTACTACTAACTGCTGACTTAAGCTGGCTCGCAATCCAAAGCAATTAAAAACACCTGCTGGGTGATGCGTTTAGCCAAAACAGATGCTATTGAAAACTAATAACCAGAGGTGTTTGTATGTGAGCACAAATTGTAAGTGAGAAAAGCAGTCAATGTGCTTAAACACTTAAAAGTACAACACACATTGTACTTTCAGTACATCATCAACAGTGCCTGGTTGACTTGGTTCGACCAGCCAGGGGCAACAGTTTGTTAAATCACAATGACACCCAGAAAACCTTGCTTGAGGGAAGGTCTCAGATCCTGTTGATGGGAATAAAGTGCCTGCAACATCAGGTAATCTTGTTTGCAAAGTGGCACTAAAAACATCGACTTAAATGTTACTTACATTTGATATCAGATACTTCTTAGAAAACTGGCAGCAGCATTAAATTGCTTTCATAAAACCCCTACCTTCACATGAAGACATTTCCTTTCTTTGGGTTCTACCTACCAAGCAAAATCTGTTGCCCAGCTGATTGCTGGTGCTGGAGTAAGATCTGGAATCCGAGGCATTTTTACAAGAGCCCCTATGAGTGAGTGCTCCCCTTGTATCCTGGTTGCACCTTATGTCCCTGACCAGTTCCTTCATTTGACTTCTTCAAGAGATACAAATCTCCCTCTTCAAGCTCCACCAGTCTCTTCTCTATCTTTTCTAAACTAGACTTGTAAACGTGCTTAAGGGATTCTTTTACTAATTTCTAGCCTACCCTACAAACAATAAGTCGCACGAAGGCAAGGTCTACGTCTTTTTGGTTCAGCACTACAGTCCCACACCTGACACAGAGGAGATTCAACCAAGATTTACTAAGTGAATGAACAAATGCAAAAATCAGGAAGAACAGCACCTAAGTTGCAGTTATGTGAGGCTTCACTGAAATGCACATAAAACTGTTTGGTACAGCACCTGGCGAGTAAGCTTGTGACAAATTGTTTACAACAACAATAGTAATTTTATGTTGTTATTCCGAAACAGTGGCCAACTGCAAGCTTAGTAAGAACAGAGGGAGTCCCGCCTTCTCAGCTGAAGAGAAAGGGCCTGCTAGAAATGCTGACATCCCCCTAAGGCTGCTCCAAAATGCACAAGAGGAGGAGGAGTGGGATAGACACATGGGACATTTTACCCCAAAATCGTGACAAGAAGATCCAAAGATACTACAGATGTTAGGAGGAGACTGAGTTCAGGTAATGGCAAGAAGACCAACTACTTAGAGGAACTCCCAGAGATGACCTTGAAGAGCATCTGTGGGTCAGGACCACATCTGTGACTTCCAGCCCCCAGATGAGCTAAATTCAACCAGAATGCTGTGGGAGATTTACAACAGCAGAGAGCAGCTCCTCAGCGTCAGGGTATCTTCACAGGTCTCCCGACTCAAGACCGACTCGTGCAGATGTAAGGAGGCAGACTAAAAAAGCCTCTTGATTCAGTAACTTTCTCAAGGAGTTTTTCTCAGATCTGTGTGTGCTTTAGAATAAACTGAAGTGTAAAGCCGGTAGGTTTGAGGTCAATCCCCCTATCCTTCCACTTTGATGATGGCCTTGTCTAAATAAGGTCAGAGTTTGTGAACTCAAGAGGCTTCCACAGCCTTGGCAGCTCAAGACAAGAGCCTTGGGTGATTACTGACGTCATAAATAAGAGTGTCAATTGTTAAATCAACAACAGCAGTCACTGTGCACTTGTTCCCCATGTAGGATCTCTGTCCTTAATGTGCTGAACTATGAGAATTAATGGTAAAACTAGTATTCAAACAGTACTTTATATTTTGTGTGTCTGTGTGGGTGCAAACTGCTGAAATCTTAGTATATACTAAGTTGATCTTCTGTATATAAAGATAATTAAAAATGAATCTTAATGAAGAATGGGATGGAAAGGGAGTAGGAGATGGGATGGTTTGCAGGTGGGAGGGTGGTTATGGGGAGAAAAACCACTATAATCCAAAAGTTGTACTTTTGAAATTTATATTTATTAAATAAAAGTTTTCTTTAAAAAAAATCCCCTTATTCTTAAGACTTAACCATGCCCTCAGATGTGTCAGATACAGACCAATTTAAGAAACACCCTTAATAACTATTTCCAGAAGCTCCAGTATCAGGGCCCAATTATCCAAGATGAGAACCTTCTAAACTGGAATATTTTCTGTGCCTATAAATAAAACTATTCTCTTCATCATCGAATTTGCACACTCATAAAGTTTGGGGTTCAAAGCATAACAACTAAGGTTAAATATGAACCTAGAATAAAACTATTTTAAAAGAAAAATTCCCCCACAGCAAGAAATAACCATTTTTGGAAATATTGAACACAATTGGTTAAAGTTTTCCTAATTTTTAATTAATTTGCTTATTTTGAAAGCAGAGACAGAGAATTATTCCAGCCTCTGGTTCACTACACATATGTCCTCAACTGCCAGGGCTGGGACAGGCCAAAGCCAAGAGCCAGGAACTCAATCTGGGTCTCTCATGGAGGTGTAAAAGACCCAAACATCTGAGTCATCGCCTACTGCCTCCTACCATGTGTATTAGCAAGAATCTGGAACTGGAAGCAGAGCTCAGACTCAAACCCTGACACTGATATGGGATGCAGGCATCTGAAGCAGCGGCATCTTAACCACTATGCCAAAGGCCTGCCCCCAAGTTCTCCTAATTTATATCTGAATTTTATTAATGTACGTATTTTTCATTAAAATTTATTATAAATACAAAGAAAATATAAATAATGCTGGACATATCTATGAAATTCTTAAAAATAGTGTTTCTAGTCTGTAATCTGAAATGTAATAATAACTGAATTCTTCATTAAATACAATTCTCTATGTTGATATAGTTGGACTACTATGTATAATTCAATCTTCAAATTATATTTTTTAAGGAGAAAAAGAAGAAGGAGGAGGAAACAAAGTAGATACCTACCTTGTGCACACATTTAAATTCACACGATTGATATCATCTTTATTGTCTTTTACATCAACATCTAAATCAAAGGCTTCTTCATTTTGAATAGATCTTCGTCTTCTAGCAGATCCTGACTCTTTCACATTATAAATAACATTGAACTGCAATAAATAACCAATTAGAATATTAATTAGCAATAAATTATTAGAAATTAATTGTCATTATGCATTCTAAATATTAGGACTCCTTCTCTTTGGGATAAAACCAATTTGACTTATAATCCTCAAACCAGAAAACAATTTTATTGGCTAACAAAGTATGGTGAGAAATATTATCATAAAAGTTGATATTAAAACTATTATAAATTTGAGAAAATGATTTGGTATTCCAAAACAAGTACCATATAACACTGACAATGATATTCTTGGGGTACTGTTTTTTCAAAGAATGTAAACTATTCCCCTCGAGGGTAAAAAGTGGAGCTACTGCCAGCATTGTCAAGTGCATTCACTAATTTCTAAGCCCTCCTGCCCAAATGGAGTCATTGTTCATAAGCTGGAACCTGATAAATTCCCCGTGAGATAAATGAAAATTAGAATATGTAAAACATTAGTACTGCTGAGGATTAACTCTGATAAGACAGCATTTTTCAAAAATGATAAAATAACCAATGACATTCATCTCAGATCTAGAAAAAAATGATGCTAAAATTCATACGGAAACACAAGAGACCCTGAATAGCTAAAGCAATCTTAAACAACAAAAACAAAGCCAGAGGCATCACAATACCAGATTTTAAGGCATATAATCAAAACAGCCTGGTACTAGAACAAAAACAGAAGTGTAGGCCAACAGAACACTATAGAAACTCCAGAAATGCATCCATGTGTCAACAACTAGCTTATCTTTGAAAAAGGAGCTAAAATCAATCTCTGCAGCAAAGATAGTCTCTTCAACAAATGGTGCTGAGAAAACTGGATCTCCACATGCAGAAGTATGAAACAAGACCCCTATCTTACACCTTACACAAAAATCCACTCAAAATGGATCAAAGACCTAAATCTATGACCCGATACCATCAAATAACCAGAGAATGTTGGGGAAACTGCAAGACACTGGCATAGGCAAAGATCTCAGAAGCACAGAGAATCAAAGCCAAAATTGACAAATGGGATTACAACTAGCTGAGAAGCTTCTACACTACAAAAGAAACACTCAGCAAAATGAAGAGGCAACTGACAGAATGGGAAAAAATATTTGAAAACTAGGCAACTGATAATGGGTTAATATCTGTAATCTAAAAACAACTCAAACAACAACAAAACAAACAATCCAGTTAAGAAATGAGCAAAGGACTTAAACAGGCATTTTTCAAGAGAGGAAATTCCAATGGCCAATAGACACGTGAAAAAATGCTCAGGATCACTACCCATCAGGGAAATGCAAATCAAAACCACAGAGAGGTTTCACCTCACCCCAGTTAGAATGGCTCACATACAGAAATCAAGAAACAACTAATGCTGGCAAGGATGTGCAGAAAAAGATATCCTAATCTATTGTTGGTTGGAATGTAAACTGGTGCATTCACCATGGCAATCTGTATGGAGATACCTTAGAAACCTAAATATAAACCTACCATAAGATCCAGTCATTCCACTCCTGGAATTCACCCAAACAAACAGAAATCAGCATATGAAAAAGTTATCTATACCCTCATGTTCATTGCAGTTCAATTCACAATAGTTAAGTTATATAATCAACTCAGATGTTCATCAACTGAAGACTGGATAAAGAAATTATGGTATACATACACTATGAAGTACTAGGCAGCTGTAAAAAAAAAATGAAATGCTGTCTTTTGTAACAAAATGATGCAACTGGAAACCATTATACTTAGTGAAATCAGCCAGTCCCATGTGGCTGGCACTGTGGCATAGTGGGTAAAGCTGCCGCCCGCAGTGCCAGTATCCCATATGGGCACTGGTTGGAGTCCTGGCTGTTCTATTTCTGATACAGCTCTCTGCTGTGGCCTGAAAAAAGCAGGAGAAGATGGCCCAAGTCCTTGGGCCCCTGTATCCACATGGGAGACCTGGAGGAAGCTCCTGGCTCCTGGCTTCAGATTGGCGCACCTCCAGCCATTGCGGCCATTTAGGGAGTGAACCAGCGGATGGACGACTTCTCTCTCTCTCTCTCTGCTTCTCCTCTCTCTGTGTAACTCTCATTTTCAAATAAATCTTAAAAAAAAGGAAGCCAGTCCCAAAAAGACAGATATCATGTTTATATGTGTATATATATATGAAATACACGAAATTTATAAACTTTAAATAAAATTTTAAAAAATAAAAAACCAAAGATGATAAAATAAATGATGAGTTTTCTATTAATTTAGTCACTTTCAATATACTCCTTGCCCACTCCTGATGTGAAAGGTACAATTGGGACACAGGGGCAGTATAAGGACCAATGTCTTTCTCAAAGAGATTTCAAATCAGAGGCTTAGGAATAGACCCAAAATTTCCTGTGCCAACCCCAACCAGGACAGAATGAGATCTCCTTAAATGTTTTATTTCATCCATCAAGACAGTAACTTAAAATAACATGTTGGCCTTCACATTCTTAGATTAGCATTAAAAGTTGTAAGTTAGGGGCTAGCAGGTAAAAACCACCACCTGCAGTGCCAGCATCCCATATGGGCACCAGTTAAAGTCCCCGCTGCTCCACTTCCAATCCAGCTCTCTGCTATGACCTGGGAAAGCAGTAGAAGATGGCCCATGTCCTTGGGCCCCGGCATCCACACGGGAGACCCCAAAGAAGCTCCTGGATCCTGGCTTCGGATCAGCGCAGCTCCACCACTGCAGCAATTTGGGGAGTGAATGAGCAGATAGAAGATTCTCTCTCTGTCTCTCTCTCTGCCTCTGCCTATCTGTAATTCTGCCTTTCAAATAAATAACTGAATCTTTAAAAAAAAAATGGTGTAAGTTAAACATATATTTTATCAGGTCATAATAAAAACTCTATTAACATTACAATTTCTGATTTGTGTTTTCACAATAGAAGGCGGGATTCCCAACAATTCACATGAATCATGTTGCAGGAATTTTTTTAAAGATTTATTTAATTTTTTTTGAAAGTCAGAGTTACACACAGAGAGGAGAGGCAGAGAGAGAGAGGTCTTCCATCCGTTGGTTCACTCCCCAAATAGCCACAACAGCCAGAGCTGCGCCAATCCAAAGCTGAGAGCCAGAAACTTCTTCCCGGTCTCCCACATGGGTACAGGGGCCCAAGAACTTGGGCCATTTTCTACTGCTGTCCCAGACCATAGCAGAGAGATGGATTGGAAATGGAGCAGCCAGGTCTCAAACCAGCGTCCATATGGGATACTGGTGCTTCAGGCCAGGGCGTTAACCCGCTGTGCCACAGCGCCAACCCCATGCTGTAAAATTTTTAATGCTCACTTCAAAAGGTAAAAAAAAAAAAAGAGAGAGACACTTTTAAATAGATTTCAAATAGATTATCTGCTATTCCTTCATTAGTTGGCAGCATTTCTAACATTTTTTATTTAAGAGAGTAATGTACCTAGCCAAAGTCATAGAAGTAAATCGTAAAGAATTTTAAAATGCAAGTTATTTAAGCAAAAGTTGTGCAACACCTCAAACCAAAGAATTATTATGAAAATCATGTTTAACTAAAAACATAAACATTATTACATACCTGACAAATAGCAAATCCAAAACCATTTGCAGAAATATTAACTGTAGTTGGCTGTTCCACAGGAAGCTGAATAAAGGTTAAAAAAAAAATTGAACAAAGTTAATTTTTTTGCAAGCAGACCCTTCTAAGCAGCATGAAAGAGCAGTGTCATTCCTCACTAGAAGTGAAAGCAATCCCTGGAGAATGCTAAGAGCTTTCCATGGTCACACATACGAAAGCTGTGGTTCAACCAAGGAAGCCAGGTGCAGGCAGAGGAGGTGCACAATCTTCGAGCCTCCTGGTCCCTGCCCTTTGGGAGGACATGCTAGTGCTAGTGACAAGTCTGGCCTGCTCAGGATGATGCATGAAAGACAAAACAAAAGTCATTTCCCCTCTGCAGTCTCCCTAATTCAGAGCTTACCCTGGCCTTCCTAGGAGTATGAGAACACACCACCACTGACTGTGCCTAGCGTTAGCCTTCTTTTTCCCTCAGCATCACCCCTCTTCCTCAGTTTTTAGTCTTGAAGTTATCACTTTTATCCACTGTCCTCAATATTCCAAAGGGTTCACCAAGGGAATAAAGTTAGGGATAGCATATTCATTTATTTCATTTTAAAGTAGGAATTATATTAATAGTTCCATCCATTCTCCTAAGAGGATATGTGATGTAACTGTGAAGAACATGGTATTTGGAGTCATGGGTTCAAATCCTAACTCTACTGTTACTAGTAACGCAATCTTGAGCTAGTTACTAACCTCTCCCAGTCTCCTATTTATCATGTTTACAATGGGGACAAAACTACTTACTCATTAGAGTTGTTTTTTGTTGTTTTGTTTGTTTGTTTGTTTGACAGGCAGTTAGTGAGAGAGAGAGAGAGAGACAGAGAGAAAGGTCTTCCTTCTGTTGGTTTACTCCCCAAATGGCTGCTATGGCCAGCGCGCTGTGGCCAGCGCACTGCACCGATCCAAAGCCAGGAGCCAGGTGCTTCCTCCTGGTCTCCCATGTGGGTGCAGGGCCAAGCAATTGGGCCATCCTCCACTGCCTTCCTGGGCCACAGCAGACAGTTGGACTGGAAGAGAAGCAACCGGGATAGAATCTGGCGCCCCAACTGGGACTAGAACCCAGGTGCCAGCAACATAGGCGGAGGATTAGCCAAGTGAGCTGCGGCGCCAGCTTAGAGTTGGTTTAAGAAGCAAATGGGGCCGGCTCCGCAGCTCACTAGGCTAATCCTTTGCCTTGCGGCGCCGGCACACCGGGTTCTAGTCCCGGTTGGGGCGCCGGATTCTGTCCCGGTTGCCCCTCTTCCAGGCCAGCTCTCTGCTGTGGCCCGGGAGTGCAGTGGAGGATGGCCCAAGTGCTTGGGCCCTGCACCCCATGGGAGACCAGGAGAAGTACCTGGCTCCTGCCATCGGATCAGCGCAGTGCGCAGGCCGCAGCGCGCCAGCCGCGGCGGCCATTGGAGGGTGAACCAGCGGCAAAGGAAGACCTTTCTCTCTGTCTCTCTCTCTCACTGTCCACTCTGCCTGTCAAAAAAAAGAAAAAAAGAAGCAAATGGAATAGGAAATATAAAGTAACCTAGCACAATATCTGTGAAGAACAGCAACTCAATGGGTGTTCGTTCCTTTTCCTATATAACAGTGGCCAATCTTTCCAAAATTCTTAGCCATCCCACCTTTGCTGAACTCAGAAATTTCAAATAAGGAGGGGTACCATTTGCCCCTCTCATCTTAACCTACCAGGATCTGGGAACAACAAGTCTGTTGAAGTCAGAATTTAAAAATAAAGCACTATTCCAGCATATTAAATAACTGCCCTCGTCCATACCTCTGCTGACTGAAGGAGTAGGCGGCTGTGCGTCTTAATGAGAAACTTGGTAGGACTCGGTGAGCTAGGCCCCATCACAGTCACTTGGATATCGGTCCTTTCTGTATTCATCAGGGCTGCAAATTCAGACAGGGCCTTCAGGGCCACAATGGTATCCTGTTGAGGGGAGAAAAGCAATCACACATGTAAGTATACATCAAGGTCTCCAAAGGGTAAACTAAGCAAGGTTAAGAAACCTGCTGCACATTTCTGCCCCCTCCTTGCCTGGCAACATGCCCTGACTCATTTCTTAATCTCTTGTCCTAGAGCAGGAGAGGCTCAGAAATCATTTGTGGAATGGAATGAGCATCTAGTCTTGTATCAGTTACCACAAGTGAAAAATGGCTACTATGCACAGGGAACTGGCTTATTCCATGCAAGTATTGGCTATGAAGCTCATTAACAAGAAAAATTAAATTAGTGTCATAAATTTTTGAGATGTTACTAAGCTTTTATTTTCTTAAGATTTATTTATTTATTTGAAAGTCAGAGTTACAGTAAGAGAGGGAGAGATGGAGAAAAAAAAAAATCTTCCATCTGCTGGTTCACACCTCAGATGGCTGCAAAGACCAGAGCTGGGCCAGGCAGAAGCCAGGAGCCAGGAGCTCCTTCCAGGACTCCCAAATGGGTTGCAGGGGCCCATGCACTTGGACCATGTTCAACTGCTTTTCCCAGGCACATAAGCAGGAAGCTGGATCAGAATTGGAGCAGCTAGGACACAAACCACCACTAAAATGGTATGGTGGCATCTAAGGGAGTGGTTTTACCCACTAAGTCACAACGCCAGCCCCATTACTAAACTTTTAAACTGCCAAGTAATTTTACAAAGTCGTGAAAAAATAGCAACTACATATTCATTTGTATATATACATATGTGTATGTATATAGTTTAAAAAAAAATATTTCTCACCTGGGTAGATGCAAAACCTCCCAGGCTATTTCTCTGCCTGCTTAGCCACCTCATAACTGGGATGCCCTCAGCCACTTGATGTTGCAGGAAGTGTGAGAGGAGTGCATAGGCTGCGACTTCGATGTCCAGGGAGCGGGGCTGCCAGGACTCAGAGAGTTTAGACACTGAGGACACCCAGAACCGCATGCCTTCTACAAGGGAAAAGTAACACGTTCTGATCAACCGCCAAAAAAATTGCATGTTATACCACTAACCAGTCCTACACTGTCAGAGTTCTACCTGACTAGCTTAAATATATTTTTACATATGTACTTGTGTATGCTGAGCAAATATATGTGCACGTGCACAGACACGCATATTAAAGCATGTTCTTGTGTGAGCCTCTTTTTAAATTATTACAACTTATAAATTTTTATCCTTTTCCTATTGCCTATATTTAAGGATGTTTTGATTCAAATATTTTTCGCAGAAGAAACTCCACATGTTTGGCTCAGGCATAACAGCTATAAATAAAAGGGAAAGCACACTCTATTCCAGAAGATAAGGTACATAACTTATATGTGCCATCCCCAAAATATGTTAAGCACACGTTGGGAAGAATCCTGTTCTGGGAATCTGTAATTCACCAGCTCTGATGTTCTGGGAAACCTCTCCTCTTTCTATTATTTGAAAATTCAAAATCCAAACCCCCAACGAAAAACCCAGGAACTCAAGCCAACTCAACAGCTTCCCTAGCAATAACCCTGCTCTGGGAGGACCATCCTCCTTGGGGTTACTCCCCCTCTCTCAAGCATTACTAGTTTGATGGTGATCACACTTAGATGGAATGTGAAATAACCACTTTCAAGCAAACAAGGATGTCAGGGACTACTTCAGCCTCTGTGCAATAATTTTCCAATCTTCAGCACTGGCCTGGGTAATAAGGATTCAATCTAAGTTAATGCTAAAATAATACAGTATTTTACATCTCAGAAGCCTCTAAATGTTTTCTACAGGTATCCCTTGCTGAATAAACAGAACTTTGAATCAGTTCACATTAACTAAAATGATTTCTGTCCATCCACCCAACTGCCACAACCCCTGCCTCTCTCTCTATTTCTGTCTCTCTCTCTCTTTCACACACACACACACACACACACACACACACAAACTGGATCCTAACTATATTACAGAGACCATTTGAGTAATAACTATACCCATACTTTTTTGTCATGTTGTAGTCCAAACAGTCCCCATTCAAAATAAAAATACATATAACCCACTTACCAACAGCATTTTTTTGAAGTGGCCTTCATTTTCATTAGCATTTTAGCTCATATATTTGAGCAGTTGCTAAGTGGCAGGCACTGTACATTATCTAATTTAACCCTCACAGCAAAGATGTTTTTCCCACTTTATAGATAGCTGGGGAAACTGAAGCTCGGTAAACTGGAGAACCTGCATTTGAACCCATGTCTCCCCAAAACAAAAAGCCTTAAGGAACACAGGACGGCCCCACCCAGAAGTGGTATCAGGGAGTCAAAGGGTAATTGACATAGCAGAACGTATCTAAAAGAAGAACCCACTTGAGCCCTGGAATTCTACACAAAGCTCCTTGAGAGGCTTGTACTGTGGTGTGTCAGGCCCACCCTGATCTCATTCTGTGTTTCAGTGTTCATCTGGTTCAGAAGGTGCAAATGTAATCAAATTCATACCTGGTTTGCAAGACTTCCTCACGTAATTTATATACTTCATAACACATAATGGTCTGCCAACCTCACCTGGGTCCCATGAATTACCTTCTTGTTCTGCTCTCTGGGTCAGCACATTCAAAGCTTCCTTCGCTCTAGGACTACCCACTGATGACAAGGCGTAGGTTATGAGAGACAGGGTATAATTGTCTGAAACTTCCCTGTCGAGCTGTGACTCCAAAAAGCTGACAGAGTCTTGCACATCAATATTAGGCTAGGAAGAGAAATACGAAATTTTTTACCATTCAAAATAACTCATTGCCTCATATGTAAGCAAAATGTACCATGAAACATTCACTCAAAATATAATTTTAATATCTATTAATCACCTAAACTTGTCATAGGCAATGGAAACAATGATCACTGATATTTAAAGGTTTGCCATGCATTTTGAAAATAAGATTGCTTTTCAGTTTTTATGAATAAATAAGGGCCATTCTTTAGAAGGAATTAGAAATAAAAAGTAGAGCTTTGGAAATGTTTCTGCCACTGAAAATCATAAGCCCAGATGAAAGCAGAAAATACAGTTTAAGAGACATTTCTCAAATTTTATTTCAGATGTCGAAGCTCTAAATTCAGGGAAAAGCGTATCACCACACCTACTACCTGGCTAGGAAAACAGTAGGAGCTTAAGCAACAGAATTTTATGCTGATTTTGTGAAATGCAATCAGCAATTACCAGTAAAGGCATCAATCACCAGGACAGTCCTGGAGTCAAATTAAGCTCATTAGCATAACTTTCCACATACACTCATTCCCATCCAGGCATCCAAGTCTGCTTAGTATACTTTTCAGGGAGTGGGTGCACTTTGCACTGCACTAGCAGACACTGTACTTGTTCCATAACTTTTTTTTTTTTTTTTTTTTTTGACAGGCAGAGTGGACAGTGAGAGAGAGAGACAGAGAGAAAGGTCTTCCTTTTGCCGTTGGTTCACCCTCCAATGGCCGCCGCTGCAGCCGGCGCACCGCGCTGATCCTGGCAGGAGCCAGGAGCCAGGTGCTTTTCCTGGTCTCCCATGGGGTGCAGGGCCCAAGCACCTGGGCCATCCTCCACTGCACTCCCTGGCCATAGCAGAGAGCTGGCCTGGAAGAGGGGCAACCGGGACAGAATCCGGCGCCCCAACCGGGACTAGAACCCGGTGTGCCGGCGCCGCAAGGTGGAGGATTAGCCTATTGAGCCACGGCGCCGGCTTGTTCCATAACATTTTAGAAATAAAAAATCCTTCACAACCTACACTTGTTACACATTCCCAAACACTAAAGAATTATCTTTCCCCTGAGAAATGAACTTTTCCCACAAAAAATATGGATTGGCTTACTTTACCAATAGCAAGCACAATACACGTATTAGAAAGCATTTTTTTTAATTTCCTTAGTTATTCTCCGGGTTAATATTTTTATGCCCAAATTCAGATTTCAAATGCAATGCATTACTGCAAAACTCTAAGTTCTCAGACATGTATTTCACCCATTGAGAACTACCTTCCTTGGGTTTCACTTGTCATTTGTTAAATTAAAGATTAAGTACCTGATATTTTTTATATCCCAGGAGAGAAGTCACAATGTAGGCTGTGAGTGTCACAGGACTGTTATTGCCACCTTGAAGCTCACTATGGATCACTCTTCCTGGCTCCCAAAATTCACCGTTGCGTGTCTGATGTCCTTTGAGCCAAGTATATGTTCTGTGTAACACATTCTGATCGATATCTATATATGGATCAGCTTCGAGAAAACATCTTAAAACAAAAGCTGACAACCTTGGTGAAAAGGAGGAAAAATTTACAGAAAATATGCTTTATAAAATCTTCCAAATAACACTGAACAAGCAAAACATTAACAATTTTCTCCCTCAGCAGAAGATTCACCAAAGGGAGGATCACTGAAGAAGGAAAACAAGCAACAAAAACAGCAGAGAGACAGCGAGAACAACCTGCCCGACAGGTGCTCCTGGTTCCCAGGTCAACTCAGAAATCATCAGTGTGAGAAAACACCCAGAAATCAGCTGGTCCAGCTCATTATTTCATCGATTGAGAATCTGACACTCTCAGAGACTTAAGTAAACTTTCAAGGTTCCTCATCTTTGGATTGTTCTGAGCATTACCAAAAGTTTCATACAACTTCGCTTGGTCCTAAAGCCATGGAAGCAGAATATGGTTCCCAAACTGTTGGACTTTAAATGGGGATATGGATACGTTTCCTCCCCTACAAGACAAGAGTTGGCGAACTACAGCCTGCAGGACAAATCTGGCTTGCCCAAATCTGGCTCTCAGGCCAAATACACCACTGCACCCCCACATGCCACCACACCACCACCTAAGAATGGTTTTCAAAAAAAGAAAAGAGAAGAAAAGGGAGGTGGCAAAAGGCTATGCAACAGAGACTCCACCTGGCCCCAAATGCCTAAAGTATCTGCTATCTGTTCCTTTACAGAAAAAGCTGGCCAAGCCCTGCTACAGAACACTATATTGAAGTGGAAAGAGCATCAAGCAATAAGACACTCCAATCTATTTAGATCTATATCCAGACTCATGTCACGAGAAATCTAAAGCACATCTGTTTTGTCTTACACCAAAGCTTTAGTGCAGTGAACATTACTAATATTCAATAATATCCAGTTCTCTTTTACTTTGGATACACAGAGGAATTCATTTCTCTGCTCCCTTCAAGCTCGGCATAGCCAAGGGACCAACTCTGTTCACGATGAAGTGAACAGAAATGTTAACACCACTCTGGCTGAAGCCTCTAATTGCCAGCGCTCCATACTGCCACCTTCTCCTCCTGCTCTGCAAAGCCGGGAGCCTCCAGTTGGAACAGTGGGCTGGTGGCAGCCCAAGCAAAGACCACAGAGCCCCCTGCTGACCTATAGTGGAAATGCATCATGAGCAAGAAGCCTCTGAAGTTCATTCCTAAGTTTCTGAGCAATGGGTGGTTGGTAGGAAAGCACACCTAGTCTAACCTAAGAATTAGGCAGTTTGCTTCTGAGTGAAACAGGAAACAAGGTTAAATGGAAGAGGAGAGACCAGACTTCCAAAATCTGCACATGAAGATTCCATTCTAGAGGAAATACTGGATTTTCTTGACTTAATTCCTTTCTTAAAGATTTATGTATTTGAAAAGTAAAGTTACAGAGAGAGTAGAAGAGAGAGAGAAAAAAAATGAATGAATCTTCCAACTGCTCGTTCACTCCCCAAATGGTCACAGCTGCCGGAACTGAGCCAGACCAAAGCCAGGAGCCTGGAGCTTCATTCAGGTCTCACACACGGGTGCAGGGGCCCAAGCACTTGGGCCACCTTTCACTGCTTTCCCAGGCATATTAGGAGGGACCTGGATTGGAAATGGAGAAGCTGGGACTCAAACCACCACCCACATAGGATACTAGCAACATAGATGGCAGTATAACCCACTACATCACAATGCCGGCCACCCATCACTGTTTTTTACATATATATATATATATATATATATATATCTTAAAGAAATCATGTTTGCCTCATTAACACAACATATACTATAATCATGTCAATTAAGGAAGGAATTATGTCAATCACCCACTGCTTCTTACTGTTCCATCATCACAAATTATTTTATTGCTGCTTTTCCCACATACACAAAAAAGAGGATTTCTGTCCATCTTTTCTAAACAAAAATACTTGATTTTTTTGTTTCAAAAACATGCAAAAATGATATTCTCTTCTTAAGCCATGATATTGGAAAAGCAGCCTCCACATCTATAATACACAGAGATACACCTATTGATTTTGCGGCAGGGTAACGCAGTGAGAGCCAGCTCCATGACATGGTTCATAGCAATAAAACTTACCAAGTGCTCCCAGAAGGATCAACATTCCCAAAAGCACTAAAAGAGCCATCTTCTCTTTGGTAGAGAAGTTCTCTCTGGTAACCTGAAGACACAAAAACAGACAGATATTTAATGTAATTAATCAATTAATTTCCCATAAATGAAAATTTCTAAACATGACTTATATTGAGAAATAATGGGTAGAGAAGGAGAAAGAAGATACCAAATAAATATCTAATGCTATTTTGTATATTAGGTACTGTAAGAAATTTAAAATATCAGGACATTTTTTAAAAAGATTTAATTTTTAAAATTTTTTTAAAGATTTGTTTATTTGAAAGTCAGAGTTACACACAGAGAGAAGGAGAGGCAGAGAGAGAGAGAGAGAGAGAGAGAGAGAGGTCTTCCATCCACTGGTTCACTCCCCAATTGGCTGCAAAGGCAGGAGCTTCGCCGATCCAAAGCCAGGACCCAGGAGCTTCTTCTGGGTCTCCCATGTGGGGACAGGGGCCCAAGGACTTGGGCCATCTGCTACTGCTTTCCCAGGCCATAACAGAGACCTGAATGGGAAGTGGAGCAGCGGGATGCAAAACAGTGCCCATATGGGATGCCGGCACTACAGGCAGTGGCTTTACCCACTACGTCACAGCGCCAGCCCAAATTCATTTATTTTTGAAAGGCAGAGTGACATAGAGAAAATCTTCCCTCCATTGGCTCACTCCCCAGATGGCCACAATGGCCAGAGCTGGGCAAGGCCAAAGCCAGGAGCCTAGAACTCCATCTGGTTCTCCCACAAAAGTGGCAGGGGCCTAACTACTTTGACCATCCTCCACTGCTTTCCCAGGCACATTAGCAGGAAGCTAGATCAGAAGTGGAGCATCTGAACATGAACTGGTGCTCCAAAACAGGATGCCAGCATCGCAAACAGAGGCTTAACTGCTAGTCCCAATACCAAGACTTTTCAAGCAAAATGCATAAAATAGAAACAATGATACAAAATGTTTACTTCAATTAAACTTAAAAAGAGTATGATAGGACCAGCGCTGTGGTATAGTAGGTCAACCCTCCACCTGAGGCGCCGGCATCCTTTATGGGCGCCAGTTCAAGTCCCGACTACTCCACTTCCAATCCAGCTCACAGTTTATGGCCTGGGAAAGCAGTGGAAGATGGCCCAAAAGTTTGGCCCCTGCACCCATATGGGAGACCCAGAGGAAACTCCTGGCTCCTGGCTTTGGATCTGCCCAGCTCCAGCCATTACAGCCATTTGGGGAGTGAATCAGCATATGGAAAACCCCTCTCTCTCCTTCTCTGTCTGTAATCAGTCTCTCGAATAAATAAATAAATCTTAAAAAAAAAAAAAAAAAGCAGCATACTATAGCATGGAAGACACATCCATTTAAAAGCAAGAAAATTGAGGGGCTGGTGCCATGGTGCAGTAGGTTGATCCTCCGCTTGCAGCACCAGCATCCCATATGGGCACCAGTTCTGCTCCTGTCTTCTCTTCCAATCCAGCTTTCTGCTGTGGCCTGGAAAAGCAGTGGAAGACAGCCCAAGTCCTTGGGCCCCTGCACCCACGTGGGAGACCAGGAAGAAGCTCCTGGCTTCGGATTGGTTCAGCTCCAGCCACTGAGGCCAACTGGGGAGTGAATCAACAGAAGGAAGACCACTCTCTCTCTCTCTCTGTCTCTCCCTCTCACTGTCTGTAACTCTACCTCTCAAATAAATAAATAGAAATCTTTAAAAAAAAAAAAGAGCAAGAAAATTGAAACTACAGTTTTATTTAACTCTAATTTTCACCACAATGGTTTCTGTGTTAAAATTCTTTGCTCCCTAAGAAAAATACTATCTAGCATCATAATTAAAGCTTAAGGAAAAAACAGAAGGTAAAAATACTTTCTATTCTTATACCAGCAAGAGAGAGAAATGCTAAATAACCTAAGACAATGGCTCTTATTTATGTGGCCATGGTCAACTGAAGTAAATCAACAATGGGTTTGCCTACCAATTCCAAGTTTGCACTTAAAAAAAAAAAGGCTTGATGGTGATGATACAGCATCACCACAGAGGTTATGTGAGGAGGGGGTTAAGACTGACGGATCTGCTTTGATCAAAGCAGATGTTTCATATTTTCAAATAAGTGTTTACAAACAAATGATTGCAATTAAAAGGCAGTTGTTTCATATTTGCAAAGCAGTACATACAAGTTTCATACAAGTGACTAAGAAATCATAGACCAAACACTATAGGATTCACCAAACACCCCACAATCAGCTGACTTGCTAAAAATGAAGTTAAAATAGCAATAATGCATCATTTTTTAAAGGTATAAGCAGGAACATTTCCAGCTCAAGGCATTACCAATGATCCTCCTATAATCAAGAATCCTTCCTGAAAATTAAAGAATTCCACCTTAGGAGGTGAGGGTGCACAGTAGGAGCTTTGCAGCATGGCCAGGGTAGTCTGGAAACCATACTCATTAAAATGTTGAATTCAATCCCTAGTAAACTTGAGTAATAAATTTTAATTTATGAATGCTAAGCATCAATGACCCTAAGTAGTTATTTATACTTGACAAATAAAACATGAGCATGCATGGTTTAAAATTAGTCTACTCTTGCCATTAAGTCCCAAACTTTATCCTTGAGCCTTTCAATGAGAATCCCTAGATCTGAGTATCTGATTATAAGAAGACAAAATGTTGGGGCCAGCTCTATGGAGCAGCAGGTTAAAACCCTGGCCTGAAGCACCTGCTTCCCATATGGATGCCGGTTCTAGTCCCAGCTGCTCCTCTTCCAATCCAGCTCTCTGCTATGGCCTCAGATAGCAGTAGAAGATGGCCCAAGTCCTTGGGCCCGTGTGCCCACCTAGGGGACCCAGAGAAGGCTCCTGGCTCCTGGCTTTGGATCAGCACAACTCTGGCCATTGCAGCCATCTGGGGAGTGAACCAGCAAGTGGAAGACCTCTCTCTCTGTCTCTACCTCTCTCTGTAACTCTTTCAAATAAATAAAAATAAAATCTTATTTAAAAAAAGACAAAATGTTTAAATAACAAAATATTTTTCTTGGTGATATTTAAGACTATGATAAAAGGAATATAAATATTTAAAGTGATGACAGAATTTGGCTTAATTTGAAGAAGGGAACATTCAATTGTGTCTTTATATTTAGAAATGAAAATATCATGGTACAGTAATTAAACAGCCAGCCCTTGCTCAACACTGGCCAGGTGTTAGGACTCTAAAGCTCTTTGATGGTATGAACTCAGGTGATTTTCACAGCCACCTTATGGCCTTGATGCCATCAGTGTCCCCTTCTACAGGATCGTGAGACCACAGCTCAGAGGATATGAACACCATGAGCAAAGTCACATAACTGGTAGGTAGTGGACCTGGGAATTACCTGGCTCCAAAGCCACTGTCTTATGGTAATTCACAGAGCCCTTTCAACAATTAAACATGATAAAATATGAAAAACCCTTGTAAAACAACTTTTGGATGGAAAGCTCTCTGTAAATACTAGGCATTACTCTCTAGCATGGGTGTAGAGCAAGGCTCTCGAAGGATCAGATTTTAAATTTAGCAAAAATTAAAATTGATAAGTGTCACAATTCAAAAAGTCTTAAACTTTGCTTCAGCAAAATACAGTAAGCTGTTAAATAACAAAGTATGTCTAAGATGTACACATACATAGCAATAATAACAATATATAAATGCTGTTTGCATGTTTACATATTAATATATACACATATAAAGAACTTCTTTAAATTTAGGGTGATATGGGGCCAGTGCTGTGGTACAACGGGTTAAGCTACCATCTGGGACACCAGCTCCACTTCCCAGCCAGCTCTCTGCTAATGTGCCTAGGAAAGCAGTAGAAAATGGCTCAAGTACTTGGACCTCTGCACTCAAGCAGGAGACCTGGCTCCAGCCTGGCCCAGCCCTTGCCATTGCAGCCATTTGAAGAATAAACCAGCAAGTGGAAGATCTGTTTGTGTGTGTGTGTGTGTGTGTGTCTCTCTCTTTCTCTCTGTCCCTCCTTCTCTCTTCTGTAATTCTCTGCCTTTCAAATAAATAAATAAATAAATCTTTTTAGCCATTGTAATCCATAAGCTGTACTTTGGAAATTTATATTCATTAAATAAAAGTTAAAAAAAAATCTTTTTAAAAATTTAGGGGGTACCAGCATTGTGAAGAGCCAGTAAAGCCATTGCCTACAATGCCAGCATTCCCATACAGGCTCTTGGCTCCGGCCTGGCCCAGCCCCAGCCGTTGTAGCCATTTGGAGAGTGAACCAGCAGATGAAAGATATTTCTATATTTCCCACTCTGTCTCTCTCTGTAACTCTGCCTTCCAAGTAAATAAGAATAAACTTTTTTTAATTAAAGGGATAGTTTTTTTTAATTATGTAGAAAAAAACTGAAATAACACAAAAATCACAGAAACAAAGATACACATATAAAGTTGGATTACAATGTATGAAAAAATGTTAAACTTTATAATAGGAGAAATTAAAATTAAAGATGCAGTTTCCTACACATCGGATTAGCAAAGATTCAAAGATTGACCCCTCCCTCTGTAGGGCGAGCTGTAAGGAAACCAGGAAATTCAGAATGGTACAATTACAGCGGCAGAAACTGTCTTCACCCTTTGACTCAATAATGCCCCTCCAGGAATCTACCCTGAAGAAACACCTCCAACAACACAAAAATATAGAGAGAAAATGATTCGTTGTCATATTACTTGTGATTGTAAAATGTCAGAAATGGCTTAAATATCCAAAATTTGGAGATTAAACTCAGTACAACGGAGTAGTACACAGCTTGAAAGAAGAACGAAGAATGGCTCTGTGAACTGATGCAGGACAACTTCCTGGAAAGACTGTTGAGTGCAAAGGGCAAAGCCCAAGGTAGCCCACAGATACTACACTATGCTATATAAGAACTGGGGGAAATAAGAAAACATACATGGACATGCTTATTTCTGCAGAGAAAGAAGAGGTAAACTAAAAAATAATGAAGCAGGTCATTTACAAGAGATTTTCCTTTGTTATAAGGAAAAAAAAGAGGTAGACTCATTCCTTTGAATATGCTTTCCACAATAAGTTT